TAGACTTAAAATCATCCTTGAATATTGCCTTTGCTTAATGTTCCTTCAATTCAGTCACAGCAATAACGTTTGACATCCTTAAAAAGGATATTTTTTGCTTCTTGCCAGGCCTGCTACTGGTTTTGGGGGTCGGAGACATGGGAACGAAAAAGACAAGCCATTGCCACCTGCCAAGCTAAGCATATGAGACAAATAGAAAACTGACAAATAATTGAGAATCAACCAGTGAGCAAGACAGGAGACAAACAATGCTAAGCACAGGGTGTTTGTAATCAGAAGGAGCACAGGATGTTTCTGGAGGGAACACGCTGTCTGGGGAAGGCCTCCCCTTTTATCCAAGTTGCTCTCCAAAATGTTCGTTGTAGCATTATGAACACATAACCCTAAATGTACAAAAATAGAAACTGTCTAACAGGAAATTAATGAAGTGATGGCAAAAGCATACTCGGTATTGCTATGCAACCATTTCCCCCCTATTATTCTATTTATATATTTTTTTGAAATTCATCCAACCATCCTCAGCAACTCCCATGAACTTGAGTCACTATAATAAGGCCTCAGATCTCAGAAATATGCATACATTAAGTCAGACGGTGCATATTTTAAAAAGATATTGAAAACATTCCATGAAATTGGGTTTTAGTAGTTATGGTCATCAAAACACAATGTAGGTACTTCTTAGCAGACTACTGGATTTAAAGCACAGACGTATGTTCTCTGTAAATGTTGATACGAATATCAAGAGACATATAATAAATCAATGTGTGTGTGCTTGTGCTTTTTTTGACTTGGGTGTTTTTAAATTTTTAAGTTTTTTATCTTTTTCGATTACAGCTGACATTGAGTATTACTTTGCATTAATTTCAGATGTACAGCATAATGGTTAGACAATCATATACTTTACAAACCGATCCCCCCTGATATTTCCAGTACCCACCTGATACCATACTTAGTTTTCATGTATTATTGACTATTTGCTGTACAGATTTTTTTTTTTTCCTTGCCTATGACCCTGTTGTAGGGATTGCCAGCTCTGGTCCTACTCACATTTTGGGCTGGGGACAATACCTAAGCAACTGTCCCGCCTTATAGGACATTTATCCGTAGCCTTGGCCCCTGGCTACTGAATACAAGTGTCCTCCTGTTCCCCACCACAGTTATAACAACAAAAAACGTCCCCCGACGTTGGCAAATATCCCCTGGGGAGAAAAATAAATTACTCCTCACTGGAAACCACTGTTACAGACTCTAAAACCAATGGCCTTCCGCATTCACTTTCCCCTTTCACCCAAGGTATGAGCAAAGGCCTGGTGCTCCTTAAGCAAAATAAAACATATTATATTCAAACATCAATTCAATGCGCGACTTGTTATCGTTCCTCCGGAGACGGAGTGACTCTTCTTGTGGGTCATATTCTGTACTTTCCAATTGTTCACAATTAATCTTTAAAATGTTTCAACTTCATAAAGTTTAAAGACCATGTATGGCTGTAGCTGATTGAGAGGAACTCCAATCAAAGGAGGTAGGGTGGGTCTGGGCGGAGACGGGAGGGGAGTGTTCTTGCCCCAGGTGGGGGTGGGGGCACTGAATGGGTCTCCTGCTTATTTAAGAGCCCAGCAGCGCCCATCTGCCCATCCCTGGGAATAGAAGACACGTGGCTGCGACTCTGAGCCCCGTAAGTATCACCTGCACCTTTTCTTTTATAAGGCTTCCGTCCCTTGGTTCTTTACCTGGTCTTCTGCGTTTCGAAAGCTCCACTGTAGGATTTTGCCACTTCACCGTATCCTGCCGCCCTCACGCGAGTCTACTAACAGACGCACCACGAGTTTCTTTCGCTGTCCCGCCTGGTCTCTTGGGTCCCGAAGGTAAGTGGGTGGAGGTGGGATTGTTATTCCTTAGACATCTTGGACTGGAACCTTCGTTCACCCTTGGCCCCACTAGCAATACAGGACATTGACTGTAAATGTGAGTTACAAGTGCTTATAGGGATTATGCAACAGACCCGAAGTGGAGGCTCTTCGTCTAAACTCGAGCCATCTGACACTAATTTAAAATACTCAGTCTCGGTTTGGTGATTTGTATGGTACTTAATTGTACTTCAGTGTCGTTCACTGGAGAAACCTTAACTCTACCACGATCGTGGAGGTGGTAAGAAACATAGTTGTTTTTGTCTTCATGACTTTTGCATCTGTTCCAGTTTCTACGATTTTGATGTTTTTAATCCTCGACAGTTCTTCGGCAAGTCTGCAGTCGATGATGACGACGTTCTGTAACTCAACCTGTGGCACTCAAACTGTGGGGGCACTTTCTGTTCTGACAAGAAAGTGCCGCCATTTTTTGAGTTCTACCGATTGAGACAGTGCTTCCCGTCGCGCTGAACCGTCCTCGCCTGCGTCTGGCTCTCCTGGGAGTTTCGGATGTGCTGCCTGAGCCAGGCTGCCTATGACCCACATCTGCGACAGTTTGGTACTTGAATGTGGAAAAGGCTCTCGGTGTGTCCTGTTGGGCAGTGCTGCGACATGGAATGGTACCAGTGGGCACCACTGTGGAGGGTACAGGAGTCTAGCCTGGTCCAACTGTTCAATGTTTTGTCAGGTGTGGCCAGGCAGTTGCTTCGGGAATGTGATAGGCTTGCTGATGGGATGGGAACCGGGAAGACAGAGTTCCATGTCCATTAATGTGTTTTTATTTAGCTCTTAAAACTTGAACTAAGGTGTTAAAAGTTGGTGTTTCAAGTTCTGCACATCCCCGGAGTTGGTCGCCAGCTTTTCCTACCGCTTTCTTGCCGTCGGCCTTACACCACTAGGGTCACCGGCCTTCGGAGACGCGTTCTACTCGACTGTGCTACTCAAAACGGGGGCACTTCCCGTGGTTCAGACTGGAAAGTGCTCCCTTTTTGTGTGTTTCAGTTTGAGGAAAGCATCCAAGAGATTCTGGGGGGAGGGCTTACGTAATGCAATCACTGTTCTGTTTTTACTTCTGCCTCTAACCCTTTCCAAGCCTGCTCTTCCCTAGATCTCAACGGGGCTAGGCCCCCTGGCTCGGTCAGCCCTGCGATCTTCCATCCTGTTGCTGCCATGCTGATGACCAAGGATAAGCTCGGCTATGAACGGGTATCTCCAACCAATTTTCTACGTCCCTGGTTGACTTCTTTCCCTAAAAGTGTAGACAAGACCCTAAATGCTCGAACTCATTCTGAAACGACCTAGAGGCCAGAATGGTTACGCAATGATTTGAAAGGCAATAAAGTTTTGAAATTCATCACACCATCTGTGTAATTGGACTCCTTTACCCTGTAGGCAGCTTGGCCACCTGGAGGCTGTGCTGTGTCTTAAGTTGGGAGGGAGGAAAGAAGCGGAGGGCCGGGAGCTTCATTGCAGTGTTGCGCCCAGCACGAATTGGTTTCGTGTCCCATCTAGCGTCCCCTGTAGCCATCAATACTTTACAAAAGCTTTCAGCCGCTTCCAAAGGCCGAGTGCTCTACATTGGGAGTGGTGAATAGTAGCGGGTGAAAAGGGAGTATGGGCGAAAATTGAGTCGTTTAAAACCAGTGTTCAAGTAACTAGGGAAAAGGGAGCGTGCCTGCAACACAACACCAGAGGGCGTCCTCGGAATTGCATTGGCGTGAAGACAATGTGATGCGCAGGCAACGATGGCCAAAAGCGTTTGACATAACATTCATGTTAACGGTCCCCTTCCAGCACTAGGGTTCAGGAGAAACCCCTTCATTAAAGTAAATTGGTTGCAGGATCCTTGCGTACATGGTCGGGAGATGAAGCAATTGGGGTAACTGAATGCCCCTCATGACTCAATGGCCGTCTCAAAACCGCAACAGCTACTGGACCTCCCTGTAACTAGGAACCCAAATAAAAGCAATTCAGGCAGTTTTATTGGTAGTTTGTCCTGCAATTAGCAAACCAAATAAGCTATACCTTGGCCTGAAAGGGCCTAACTCCAACATTCTTAAATCCCCAAAAAATGTTGCCCACAGGGTTTGTTGGTAACCTGAGGATTAGGTAAATGGGTCAGGCTCCTCGGCTTCTGAGTTGATACCCACTGTTTTAGAAGCAGCCGGTTAAAGTGGATTTGGAGGCCAGGTACACTAAGACGGTTAAAGGACTATTTCAACAGTGTTGGAACTTTTAACTTTTATTGACGTTCACATGGGTGATCAGAATCTTAACTCTTCCAACTGTTCATAGGTTCCAAGGTCACCAAATCTTTCATCTTCACATCTCCCTGCTTCCTAGAAAACTCGTCCTTCCAGTTAGGACGTAAGCATATGTTCACAGCATTCTTGTGATGTGTCTCAACAACCCTTGCTTTGCCTGAAGTTCCCAAGTGGAATTCCCCAACTGGGAACTTCTGGCTGATTTCATGTCTTCACTCAAAGCCTAGTGTAGGTTCCTTGCCAGCCTGCAGCTGCCTAACTGGTTTATTGGCCAACATGTAGGGGCCAGAATCATGGTGCAAAACTATGGTGCAAAATGCATTGCAAGCATCTAGGCGCACCAGCCCTTCAAGGCGTCTAGTGTCTGTACTGCCCCATTAATCTTTGAGAACAGGGTTTCTCGACTTTGGCACAATTACATTTTCGGTTAAATACTTTGAGGGGCTGTCTTTTATTTTGTAAAATTTTTAGCAGGATTCCTGGCCTCTACTCCCGAGAGGCCAATAGTAGCTCCCCAACAGCCCAGTCTCCTGGCATTTCCAAGTGTCCCCCAGGGGTGGGGGAGTGGGGCAAAGTCACCCTTGGTTGGGAGGAGGCTGTGCTCCAGGATCTGGGGCTCAGCCCTTAATTCTCGTGGCACCAACATTCCCCAAACTGCGCCCCAAGCTCCGTCACACAGTGATGACATGGACCTCGAGTGGAAGGTGCTTATTGTGCCTGTGAACTTGCCTCCTGAGGAAGTACAGAGCCTGGTCATTGGGTTGGTGAGCAGGTCCCGAGATGACCTTCAAGTCCAGTCTTCAAGAGCAGCGCCCACAGACAGAAGTGGTCAGCAGCCGATGTCCAGGTAAGGTTTTGTCGCACGGAGCGCTGCCAATTGTCTGTGTGTCATTTTATTCAGGTCCATTCCAAATAACCTGAGGGCGCAGAGCGGGGACTATTATCCCTGGCCGCTGTTGCGGCATTCAAATGATACAGCAAATCTATCGTTAAGTCTTGCCCTGAGGGAATAATTTCATTTTCCAGGACTTCATTTCAAACCAAATCCTCTTGGGAAACAGGCTTAATGCTAAGCTACAAGCCATTTTAAGTCTCCCTGGTGCTAACTCATTTAATTTGTGACCAACTATTCTCCGTATTTTATAGTCAGGGATATGGGAGGCGCTAAGAGGTGGGATCCTTTGCAAAAATATCCATGAAATTGGAAAGTGGTGGAATTTGAGGCCAGGCAGAATCATTCCAGATTCTCACTGAGCTACCGGGCCTCATCTGACAGGTGAGGAAATAGGTACTCAGTGAATTCTCTAAGGTCACGTGGCCATGAGATGTAGCGGTTTCGCCCAAGGAGCAAAGCAGGGGTCCCCCGCTATGTTCCACACCAAGTGCACACACTGGTGGACAAATCAAATAGTTCCGCATTTTCTAAATTATTTGTCTCTCCAGACTGGGGTTGGGGGGAGCCTCAATTATTGACCTTTGCTCCCAGCTCCGGGGCCCACGTCATGCCTCCTCCAGAGCTGGGGACCCTCTCTCACCAGAGCACCTGGAGTTTGCAACCAGGATGACTCAGCCGCTTGCACAGCAGTCGGACGCCTGTGTTCCCCAGGGCGTTGTTGGTCAGGTAAAGCTCCGTCAGAGTCTGGTTGACCCCCAGGGTGGCAGAAAGATCCTCACAAGCTTTGGCTGTGAGGCCGCAGCTGTCCAGCCTGTTGAAGATAAAGAGCAGTTAAAGCAACATTAAGACCTACTTTTGGAAATTCTTATCTCCATAGAGAACCAGGGTGTAGGGTGGAGTTTTTTAAGATTGAATGGAGAGACAGAGAGAAAGAGAGAGCGAAACATCGATTTGTTGTTCCACTTACTGATTGCATTCACTGGTGGATTCTTGTGTGTGCCCTGACCAGGGGTTGAACCTGCAACACTGGTGTATCAGAAAGATGCTCTAACCAGCTGAGCTACCTGGCCCAGCTTAAATGCCTTTTAAATGTGTGCGATCACCATCTTAACCTGGACTGCTTTGATTCTACTCTGTTTTCTTGTAAACTAGTCCCCTAAGAACTTCACCCTGGCGGGCCAGGTAAATCAGTGGGTTAGAGGGTCATCCTGATCCACAGACATTGTGGGTTTGATCCCAGTCAGGGCACATACAAGAATCAACCAATGAATGCATTAATCAGTGAAACAACAAACCAATCCCCCTCTCCCTCTCTCCAATCAATCAATACATTAAAAAAAAAAAATTATTATTTTTGCCCTGGCTGGTGCGGCTCAGTGGACTGCCAAAGGATCGCTGGTTCGATTCCCAGTCAGGGCACATGTCAGGGTTGCAGGCCAGGCCCCTGGTAGGGGGCGTGCAAAATGCAACCACACACTGATGTTTCTCTCCCTTTCTTTCTCCCTCCCTTCCCTTCCCTAAAAATAAATAAATAAAATCTTTAAATTTTTTTTTTTGGAAAAAAAACAAAACAAAACAAGGACAAACACCCACCAGCCCTGACTCCCAGCGACTCACCACAGTTTCTGGAGTCTGCAGGTGGGGTGTCGCAGCCCCTCACACAGCAGCCACATGCCGTGGTCTCCCAGGTCGTTGAAACTCAGGTCCAGTTCCCGGAGGTGGCGGTTCTGCTGGAGCACAGTAGACAGACCCTCGCAGGCAGCGGAGCTGAGGCGGCAAATGCCTAACCTGAAAGACATGGTGCGCAGAGCAGAGCTGACCCCCTGGGGACACCTGCAGGAAAAGGCTATGTATGGGGTGCCGCGTTCTGTCCAGGGAGCTCCATGTCTCTCATGAGGGAGAAAACAAGGGTGAGGAAGAAAGGAACTGGCTAGCAGGATGAGGGAAGGGAGAGAGAAATAAGGAAAGGCGAGCCCTGACTGCGTGGCCCAGTTGGTTGGAGTCTTGTCCCATCAAAATATTTCATGTTCAATTCCCGGTCAGGGTACATACCGAGGCTGCTGGTTCAGTCCCTGGTCGAGAGGCAACCAATTGATGTTTCTCTCTCTCTCTCCCCCCACCCCACCCTTCTCTCTCCTTCCTCTCTCTTTCAAAATCAATAAAAAAAAAAAAAAAAGAATTTAACCTGTTTTTAAAAAAGAATCTTCCTAATAGTAAGGCAAAAAACAAACTATAGCAATTACAACAGCGAAAATGTGGAATAAAAACAGACAAAGGGAAAGAACAGAGGGACACACAACACAGGAAAATGGCTTACAATATAGCTGGTATTCCAAACCAGCAAGGGAAATAGGAATTCTTTATTAATGGGGTTACAGAAGTTGGAGAAAAGAAAAAATTGGGCCCTGTCCAACTGCATGTATAAAGAAGAAACTGAGTATGTCTTGGATGTTGCATTGGCAAAGGATTTCTTAGACATGTCACAAAAACATACATGACAAAACTGCATGTGGGTTTGACCTCAAAACATAAACATTTTTGTTTGATGAAAAAAACCACAGACAAGTTGCCAGATTGATGACCAGCTGAGAAGATATTTCCAAAGTATGCAATAAGTGAAGGATTAATAGTTCCAATATTTAAGAAGCTGCAGATCTGAAAACCAATAAAACCACTATAAAACACGTGCTTAAATGCATAACTCACATGCATACAGCATAAATAAGCCATTTACAAAATGAGGAAACCAAAAAAGCTAGTAAGCACCAAAAGAGATACTCAACTTCACTAATTATGAAAAAAATACAGTATATGAATATTTTCCACCCACCAGGATTTTAAATATAAAAATTGAATAATCATAAAGACGGGGCGGGGGTTAAGGGGAGCAGCATGAGCTTTCCTACTTTCTATCTTTTGAGAGAGCAATTTGTAATTTTTTTTAAATATCCAGTGTTCAAGTTCAGTCTGAGCCTGCCATTCTACCCCTAGGTGGAATCTTATTAAGGTTCAGAAAGACATTTACAAGAATATGCTTTGCACCCTGGTCGGATAGCTCTGTTGGTTAGAGCATCATACAGATATGCTAAGGTTGCAGGTTTGATCCTCGGTCAGGACACATACAAGAATCAACCACCGAATGCATAAATAAATGGAACAAATCGATGTTTCTCTCTCTCTCTCCCCCCCTTTCTCCCTCCCTTTCTCTCTCTCTCAAATCAATACATTTTTTAAAAATTTAAAAAAGAATATACATTGCAACACTGTACATAACAGCAAAGAGTTAGAAACAACCCAAATGCCTGAATAGGGAGATGGGTCAGTAATATTTAGTAAATTGCAAATGATGGCATAAAGGTCAATTTCAAGTAATGAACTAGATATGCTTATACTGACATGAACAGATTGAACAGATCTTAAATGTATAAAGTGAGGGGAAAAAAAGTTGATGAGATGTATCATTTATGTAAACTCAAGACATGAATGTCTACGGATGAGATTTGGGAAGGACAATGAAAGGGATATAAATGAAACGGAGGCATGTGTGGGTCCGCAGCGATATTAGGATACCAATTAAGAATTACGAATATCCTCGTGCATCTGCAGTCCACAAAACAAAAACGTTTAAAGCGTGCAGTAGAGGGAAGAGTGTGAAGAAATGGGGCACAGATTTATCCTGATTGTCTAAACATAAAACAGCCACAGCAGCCACAGCAGCTCACTGTCTCAAGAGAAAAAAAGATTTCCAGAGCGAATAACATCAGATAATTAAGGATACTATTGTAAGAAAGGAAAAAATAATAGACTCTCCTTTGGGACTACAAGAAAAAAAAAAAGAATTTTCTGAAAATAAACAGCCTTGCTGCATTTTTTCTCTCTTTTTTTGAAAAACTATCTTTTTTAAAAACACTTTAACCATTTTAATTTATTAATTTGATAGGCAGAGAGAGAGAGAAAGAGAGAGAGAGAGAGAGAGACATAGATTTGCTTTTCCACTTATTTATGCTTCCAGTGGTTGATTTTTGTGTGTGCCCTGACCCGGGACTGAACCCACAATCTTGGTGCATGGGGACTATGCTCTAACAAACTGAGCTACCCAGCCAGCATGCTGCATTTTCTCTCTGTTCATTTGTTTATTCATCTGTTCACTCATTTAAAGACATATGTATTTTTAAGCACTGCTGAGCCAGATCTTATAACAGCCATTGGAATATAGACTTGACACAGCCCTTGCACTTTTGGAATACCACGCTCATACACACAATGACAAATTTGGTTAAAGGATGCTGAGGCAAAGCATAAGGTCAAATAGTACCATAAAACTAGGAACCCGGACCTTATTAACGGGTTAGGAAAAGTGTCCATGGGAAAGAAGCATTTATTTGGAGTCCTGACGCATAAAACAGATGTTATCGGGGTAAAACTGGGGACAGCAGAGCAGAAAGGAATTCCAGGGAGCACGAGCTCCTGGTGCAAAGGCCCTGCAGCAGAAAAATCTTTGAAAGGAGGCAAAGATGCAGCCGCAGGTTAGGAGAACAGGGAGGGAGCCAGGCCCCGGTGAGCCCAGCCCCAGTGAGCCCAGGGAGATGGGCAAGGAGTGTGAATTCGGACTCCTGTGATGGTGAGCAAAGCGGACTCACCGGAGGGTCTGGAGTTTGCACTGGGGGTGCCTGAGGCCCTCGCACAGCAGCAGCACCCCGGGGTCCCCCAGGTCGTTCAGGCTCAGGTCCAGCTCCGTCAGGCTCTGGTTCACGCTGAGGGCGGAGGCCAGGTCGCCACAGGCTGCGGCAGTGAGGTGACAAATCTTTAACCTATTCAACATGTTTTACAAAAATGCCTTGAATAGATATTTCTCCAGAGAAGATCCACAAATAACCACAGATCCCATGAAGAGAAGCTAAACATCCCTAAATCACGAGGGAAATGGAAATCAGAACCACAATGAGATACCATCTCATATCCATTAGAATGGCTTTTTTTTTTTTTTTTTTTTTTTTTTTTTTTTTAGAAAAGACAAAAGTAAACTAAACCAACAAACAAAAAAACCCCCACACAGAACCAAGAACTGCTGGTGAGGACGTGGAGAAACTGGAATCTTTGTGCACTGTTGGTGGGACTGTAAAATGGTACAGCAGCGGTGGAAAACAATATGGCAGTTCCTCCAAAATTTAAAAATAACCATATGACTTATCAATTCCACTTCTGGTCACATACCCTAAAGAATTGAAAGCAGAGGCTCAGAGAAATATTTGCACACCCATGTTCATAGCAACGCTATTCAAAATAGCCAAAAGCTGGAAGCAACCCAAGTGTCCCCTGATGGGTGAATGAACAGATTCACAAAATATAACATATATGTACAATGAACGTGTAACATAAAATTTACCCCTCTAACCATTTTAAAGTGTTCAGTTCAGTGGTATTAAGTGCACTCACACTGTTGAGCAAGAATCGCCAGCATCCATCTCCAAAGCTTCCCATCATCCCTGACGGAGACTCTGTCCCTGGGAAACAACAGCTCTCTGTCCCCTCCTGCCTGTGCTCCTGGCAGCCACTGTTATTTCTCTCTCTACAGGTTTGAATATTCTAGGTACTCCGTATAAGTGGAATCATAGAATTTTTTTTAATTATTGATTTTTGGAGAGAGAAGCAGAGTGCGTATGAGAGAGAAACATTGATATGTTGTTCCACTCATTGATGCATTCATTGGTTGATTCTTGTAGGTGTCTTGCCCAAGGATCAAACCCACAACCTTGGCATATTGGGGTGACGGTCTGATCAACGGAGCTACCCAGTCGAGGTGTATAATCCTTTTTTGATTGACATTTCATTTAGCATAATGTCTTCTACGTTCATCCATGTTGGAGCATGTATCAAAATTCCATTCCTTTTCTCAGGCTGAATAATATTCTGTTGTATGCATACACCACACTGTGTTTATCCATTCACCCACGATGGACATTTGAGTTGTTTCCACCACTTGGCTACTGTAAATAATGCTGCTACGAACATGGATGGACAAAGAGTGAATGCATTTTCATACTATCATTCAAGTGAGGAGATTTGCCTCTTAGGGTGGCCCCATGAGCCCTGGATGGGTAGCTCAGTTGGTTAAAGTGTCATCCAGATATGCTAAGGTTACAGGTTATCCCCGGTCAGGGCGCGTGCAAAAATCAACCAGTGAATGAACAAATACGTGGAACAACAAAGCGATGTTTCTCTCTCTCAAGTCACTAAAATAAAAAATAAAATACACAATTACAAAAAAAAATGGCCCCACGGAGTACTCACCACAAGATCCGCAGCCTGCAGACCGGGTGCCTCAGGCCGTGACACAGCAGACTCAGACCCGAGTCCTCCAGCGCGTTTCCTGTCAGGTCCAGCTCCACCAGGTGTCGGTTGCTGCGGAGCACGGAGGCCATCTCCTGGCACGCCCCCGCCTCTAGCTGACACTTCCGCAACCTCGGGAGGAGAGAGACGTTGGCCAGGGTGCCATCGTGCTCTCCTGCCTCCTGATGGCTCATCCCTTGGCCCTTCGTTACCCATCACGAGCCCACCCACGTCACTGAAGCTACAGAGATGAAGATGTCATCATTTTCAGCCGGGGGGGGTCCTGTCTAGTACGTTGGGTAAGCAATGGCAATCCACTGCAGGCAGTGCCACTGAGGCAGTGGAGCATGACAGTTGCGAGTGGGAACTCTAGAGCTCAATGACCTGCGCCCGCTTCCATAACCATCACCCGCTAACGCTGTGACCTCAAGCAAGTTTTCCTCGTCTCAGGTTTGGGTTTCACGTGATGCTGAGGCTCAGGTTCGTCAACTCTAAACTAAGAATAATAATAGTGCTGAACTCTCCCTGGCCAGAGAGCTCCCGTTACAGCTTCGTCCTGGTTTGTGAAGGTTGTGGGTTCGTTCCTGGTCAGGACACATAGGAGTATCAACCACTAAATGCATAAATAAGAGGAACAGCAAACGGATGTTTCTCTCTCTCTCTCTCTCCAATTCTATCTCTAAAATCAATTTGAAAAATAGTGCTGACCTCCTAGGGCTGTTGTGAGGATTACTAAAGGTGGAGGAGGCAGGGCCAGGCATGGCACACACACGGTGCCCAGTGAATGTGAGCTAATGTTTGCCAAAAGCATCATGGCGGAGAGGCCACCTGACTCAGCAAACAGGGCATGCCGTCAGGCTAGGCTCTCTGGAGACTTTGACCTGGTTCTCCAAGGCTAAGTAGGAGTTCAACAGAGGAACAGAATGGTCGTGGCTGTGAGCTAATAGAAAATATACACAATAGTTTCTGCCCCCTGTTCCTGACACAGAGCTCCTAAATCTCTGGTAACTTCCTAAGCGATAAGATACTAGGAGCATCTTTTGTTTTAATATGTGGTCTTCGACCCTGAGACCCTGATTCTCGACAGAATTCCTAAATCCCTTGGAATCTCCCAGGTGATAGCAGTGTCTTTTGTTCTAATGAGGTGACTCGGAGGGTGGGCTCCTGGATAGAGGACTGGTCACTCCAAAGACCAAGCTGTGATTAGAAGCTTGGAATCCCATGGCAGTCCTCCAGAGAGGGGAGGCGGGTTGGAAATGAAGTTAATGCTTGTTCACGCCTATGTGATGAAACCTCCATAAAATCCTATTATGGGGCTCAGAGAACTTCTAGGCGGGTGGACACATCCACACCAGGAGGGCAATGCCCCCCAGCTCCCCAGGGACAGAAATTCCCGCACTTGGGACCCTCCCAGACCTGGTCCTATGTGTGTGCTCATCTGTATCCTTTATACACGTCCTTTAATAAACTGATAGATGTGTTTCTCTGAGGTGTGTGAGCTGCCCTAGCAAATTAATGGAATGCAAGGAGGGAGTCATAGCCATTTTATGGCCAATTTATAGCCAACTGGTCCGAAGCACAGAGACAATCTGGACTTTTGATTGACATCTGAAGTGAGGGCAGTCTTACTGTCGGACCTGATGCTGTCTCCAGGTAGACAGTGTCAGAATTGAGTTAAATTGTAGGGCACCCGGCTGGTGTCCCAGAGGATTGCTTGGTAGGAGTGGGGACGGGAGAGGGGGTATGGGAAGCCCTTACATATTTGGTGACTGGAAGTGTCAAACGGGAAGCGTTCTGTGTGGTAGTAAAGAAGACACACAGGTGGGAAGCTGGGTGGCTTTTTTAACACAGTGGCATTTCAGGAAAAGGGAACCATGCAGAGGTGTCCAACCTGTGGCCCAGGATGTCTGTGAACGCGGCCCAACACAAAATCGTAAATTTCTTTAAAACATTACGAGATATTTTGGTGATTACATGTCACAATATATTTAATGTGTGGCCCAAGACAAGTCTTCTTCTCCCAGTGCTGCCCAGAGATGCCAAAAGGTTGGACACCCCTGGAAGGGTTTTGGCGCAGGGAACTCTGGGGTTTTGATGACCCAGGTGGGTTCTGGGTGGGCAGGTGGCCCTGGGGACTCCTGACCATGTGGAAATGGTGGGAGACAGAGGAAACCAGAAAGAGGGTTCCAGGGCATGGGTCTAAGTTCACGGGTCAAAGTTCAAGGTAGAGACTTGGGAATCATCAGCATTTGGGGAGATATTTCAAGCCTGGGAGACCACGCTGGTTAAGGTCTTGTTCCAGGGATGGGGACTCACTGGATCATCTGCAGCCTGCATTTGGGATGCCGGAGCCCCTCACAGAGCAGCTTCATGCCCGGCAGCCCGAGGTCATTGCTGCTGAGGTCCATCCTCATCAAATTCTTATTGGTGATCAGAGCTGCCGTGAGGTCCTGGCAGGCAGAGCCGGAAACCCGGCACCTCTTCAGCCTGGAACAGAAAGGGGAAACAAGCCAGGTCATTTCCTTCGTGGTCCTTCTGTGGGCTTGGTCCCTTATCCTTTCTCTCCCTCCTTCCTTTAGGTCTATTCTTCCCTTTTTCTAAAACCAAAGACAGGAGATTAGTGATGGTCAAGGGGCTGTGTGGGGGGTGGGTGGAGACTGGAACCAGTGGGTAGGGTGTTACTTCTTGGTCTGATGAAAATGTTCTGCAGTTAGAGCATGGTGCTGTTTTGTCCAATTTGGGGCAATATACTCAAAAAAAGAAAAGTCACTGAGTTGTCTGGTATGTGAATTATATCTCAACAAAAAATTAAAAGCAACAGGAATAGTATAAAATGCTTTTGATGCTTTGCAGTCAAGGAAATACTTTCACAGAGCTTGCCCTTAAAAGAGGAATCTAGACATGGCTGGTGTGGCTCAGTGGATTGAGTGCCCTGCAAACCAAAGGGTCGTTGGTTCGATTCCCAGTCAGAGCATGTGGCTAGGTTACGGTCCAGGTGCCCAGTAGGGGGCGCGTGAGAGGCAACCATACATTGATGTTTCTTTCCCTTTCTTTCTCCCTCCCTTCCCCTGCCTCCAAAATAAATAAATAAGTAAGTAAATAAATAAATAAAATAAAGAAGAATGTACAACCCATGGACATGAACTAAGGGTGGGGGTGGGTAATGCTGGAGGGTGAGGTGGTGCAGGGTGGAGGGGAATAAATGGGAGAAAAAAAGTAGAACAACTGTAATAGCAAAAGCAATAAAATATATATTTTAAAAAAATAAAGAAGAAGAAGAATTGTGAGAAATACATTTCTCTTTTTTGTCACCCAGACACCGAGACTGTGGCACTTCGTTATGGCAACCAGAGCAAAGTAACACACCATCAAGAGTTCTTTCTAGAATTTTTATTGATTGATTGATTTTTTTTAAGAGAGAAAAAGGGAGAGAGAATCATTGCTTTGTTGCCCCACATATTCACGCATTCATTGGTTGATTCTTGTATATTCCCTGATCGAGGACTGAACCCACAACCCCAGCCTAGTGGGACGATGCTCAAACCAACTGAGCTACCTAATCAGGGCATCCTGTGTTCTTTCTGGCTGAGCCCCATGAGAGAGTGTGGTGGGACTATCCAAAGCTCCCACACCAGCCTAGACTCACCTCAGGTTCTGGAGTTTGCAGTTGGGATGTCTGAGGCCTTGACACAGCAGCTTCACACCCCGGCTCCCCAGAGCATTGTGGGACAAAGCCAGCTCTGTCAGATTCGGGTTGGTGCTTAGAGCAGTGGCCAGCTGTTCACTGTAGGCATCTGGCAAAACGTTCCTCTCAGGCCTGCGCGAAGGAACTACAGGTCAAATCCAGTTTTCCCAGTCGCTTTACAATGCTTATGTTCGGCACTTGATTATCACTTCACCGTTTATAAAGCATTCTGTCATCTTCATTTTAATTTAGCTTGTGAATGACCCTGTGTTTTTGCCCAAGGTCATATAGCTGGTAAGTAGTAGAGACCAGACTTAAATTCTTGGACTAGGGATGGGGAGATGGATTTCATTTTAAAGCTAATTTTTTAATATTGAGGTAACATTGGTTCATAACATTATGTAAGGTTCAGGTACACAACATTATAATTCAGTATCTACATACTCTATGGCAACACCGCCAAAAGTCTGGTTTCCATCCGTCACCCTATACTTGACCCCCTTTATTCACTTCACCCTCCTCCCCCCCTGCTCCGCTTCCGCACTGGTGGCCACCATATTGTTGTCTGTATCTATGAGTTTGTTTTTGTTGTTGTTTTTGTTTGTTACCTTTTTCTTTTATATTCCGCATGAGTGAAGTCACATGGTTTTTGTTCTTTTCTATCTATCTGACTTATTTCCTTAGCATAATACCCTCAAGACTGATCCAGGTTGTCACAAATGGCAATATATCATCTTTTTTATGGTTGAGTAGTAGCAATCCATGGTATATATACACCATCTCTTTTTTACAAATTTTGTGTTTATTGATTTTTAGAGAGAGAGGGTAAAGAGTGGGGAGAAAGAGAGAGACAGACAGACAGACATTTATTTGTTGTTCCACTTATTTGTGCATCTATTGGTTGATTTTTGTATGTGCCCTGACCAGGGACCGAACCTGAACCTGCAACCTTGGTGTATTGTGGTGACACTCTAACCAGCTGAGCTACCCATCCAGGGCTACACCACCTCTTCTTTATCCATTCATTTACTGATGGGCAAGTGCCTGGATAATATTTCTTTTTTAAAGTTTGTATTTATTTATTTTTAGAGAGCGGGGAAGGGAGGAGCAAGAGAGGGAGAGAAACATCAATTGACCACCTTTTGCAGGCCCCCAGCTGGGATCAAACCTGTAACCCAGGCATGCGCCCTGGCTGGCAGTAGAGCCGGTGACCTCTTGCTTCACAGGACAACACCCAACCAACTGAGCCATACCAGTGAAGGCTGGATAGTATTTTTTGATTGAATGCATTCTCTCTGACACGGGCCCCGAACTAGTCCTAATGAAAATTGTTTAAGAGGAGGAAACCAACCTGGACGCTACTGCCATCTGGCGGCCAGATCATTCTCTGCTGTGGGGCTGCCCTGTCCATAGGCAGATGCTTTTGCAGCATCCCTGCCCTCCACCCACTAGATGTAAGTAGCACCTTGCCCATTTCCCCAGGTTATGACAACCAAGTATTTTTCCAAAAACTGACAAGTATGCCCTTGGTCCTGGCCAAGTAGCTCAGTTGTAGCATCGTCCTGATGTACCAAGGGCGTGGGTTTGATCCATGGTCAGGACACAAATGAGAAGCACCGAATACATGCATAAATAAATGGAAAAACAAAATGATGTTTCTCTCACCCTTCCTCTCTCCCTCTCTCTTAAGAAAAAAAGTATTTTCTTGGGTGGGGGCAAAATCACCCCCAACTGAGAACATGAACTTGGTTAGCAACTTGAGTGAGGACGGCAAGCCCCAGTGAGTACTTACGATTGTGCCCATAGCGTCTGGGGCCCTGAAGTCCTCGCCCCATCCTCCCCGTCGTCCGTGCTGTAGGCAGCCCCATGGAGGCGCAGCACCAGGACGCTCCTGCAGTTCTTCGCGCAGAAGGACGAGACCATGTGCTCCATCTTGGTGGTCATGTTGCTGACCACCACCACTTGGAAGTGGCTCAGGGCCTGTTGGATGAATCCCTCCTCCTGGATCTCGTACAGGCAGCTGAGGAACTCCAGGGAGCCCTGCTGCAGGGTAGAGCCCTCGCTCAGAGCTTTGCTTTCGATCCACTCCATCAGCTCCGCCTTGACGCGTGGCGACACCTTCCAGCAAAGGCTCTTCTCCAAGTAGCTCCTCGTCTCCTCGTTCAGGAGTCCAAACAGAAAACGCACAGTGAGCGCCCAGAAGCTCCTTTCTGAAAACCCGTACTCTGCCAACAGCCTCGTTAGGCTCTGGTCCGGGCTGGACCGGCTGTCTGCACCATCCAGGATGTAGTACATGGCCGCAAAGAACTCCTGGAAGCTCAGGTGGATGAAGCTGTAGAACTTCTCACAGTTGATGTCCTTCTGGAAGATGTTCATGTTGAGGAAGGAGGAGACGTCCGCCCCGTCCAGGCCGTGCTTCCGGAGGTCCTCCTCTTCAAACAAGATCTTCTGGTTCCAGAGGCCGTCAGCAGCCAAAGAGCAGAGCCCTCTCTGGTTGGGCGGGGCTTGGAGGGTCGGGGACCCCGGCTTGGGTTGCATCAGACTCAGGAGGTACAGCATGTACACGGCTGTGGTGGTCCTGGACGTCTGTCTTAGAAGCCCCCCGCCCTCCAGCTGCTGCTTGAGGCACGTGCAGACGACCCAGCACACCAAGGGGACGAAGCACAGGGTGAAGAGGGGCTCATTGTCCCTTACGAAGCTGAAGGCTTGGCCGGCCAGCTCTGCGTTGTGAAAGTACTTGTAGAAGTACTCCTTCCTCTCCGCCTCCGAGAAGCCCAGGATCTCCACGTGCCTGGGGTGCTCCAGCCAGCGGTGGAGCTTCTCCAAAGCCGTGGGCCTGGTGGTGATCAGCAAAGACAACTCCGGCAGCAGCTTCTTCCGAATGAGGCTGCTCAGGAGAACCTCTGTGGGCCGTTTCTCCTCCCAGCAGAGGCACCAGACGCCCTGAGGGTCGTGGAAAGAGGGTTTGAGCTCGTCAAAGCCGTCGATGATGAGAAGGAGGCGTTCGGGAACCCGGAGGAGCTCTTGCAGGGGCGCGCTGGGCTCGGGCCAGCAGCTGGACATGAGGTCCTGCACGCTCCGCTCAGGGGCACTCTGGTTCATCTCTCTGCAGTTGATGTAGAAGAGGTAATCAAACCTGTCTTGGAAGAGCCTCCCGTCGGCCCAGTCCAGCATCACCTTGTGCGCCAGCATGGATTTGCCCATCCCCGCAGCTCCTTGCAGAACCACGGTGCGCGGAGGCTCGGGGCGCTCCTCGTCTGGCTCAAAGAGGGTCTCCATCTGGATGAGGCTGGCCTGGTGTCCTACGGTTCGTGCGTGTCCCAGGCCTGTGTCCAAAAGCTTCTGCTGAGCTCTCATGGGATTAGAATGTTCCTGCACCAGCAGGAGCCGGGTGTACCGGTGGCTGAGGTTAACGCATTCCCCGAGGCGCGCATTGCGGTCTTCCATCAGCCGGAACCTCCTGCGGACGTAGTCCCTGTAGGTTTGCAGGGGATCTAACGGAGAGGAAGGAAGGGTTTGCGGAAGACGCATCAGCAACCTTTCGGGAATTCATGAGTTAGAACACAGCAGGGTCTAGTGCCTCCTGGCTCTGCAATATCTTTGAAACAGCTTTCTAGTTTTTCTTCCTTTTTTTAAACATTGATTTTAGAAAGGGAGAGAAACATCGATTTGTGGTTCCACTTATTTACACATTGATTGGTTGATTCTTGCCTGTGGCCTGACTTGATTTTGGCCCCCGAACCAAAATCTTGGTGTAGGCTTGGTGATCGAATAACCAGCTGAGCTACCTACCTGGCCAGGATGGACCAGTTTCCCACAGGGGGCCTGAGAATCTTGGTACTTCCCTTGCGGTGGGAAGCAGAGGCGTTAACACGGGAGGTGTTTACAGAGGGCGTTCTCTCCCAGCCACTCAGACGGTGGTCCGGGTGCTAGCCGGGTGACCATCCCCACTCAGGCAGGTGGAGGGCCGGCAATGCGCCCTGGAAGAACCAACGCATCAACCTCCGCCCCCTGGTGGAAGGGACACTAAGCCCCAGGTGGCTCCACCAGGGAGCCGGCTGGAAATGCACAATCTTGAGCCCCACTCCTCACCTACTGAATCAGGAGCTGTATTTCCAATAAGATCGCTGCACGATTTGCCAGCGCTGTTCAAGTAGGGAAGCAGGGATCCCGTGTGTTCCGTGCCCCCTTGGCAATAAGGCAGACGACCATCTACAATGGAGAACTTACCGTTCTGGAAGTCCTTTGCTCCCGTTGCTTCGGGAAAGCCTGCTTGTTATGCATGTCTACGAGTAATCTAGAACGGTGATTCTCAAGGCGGTGATTGTGTACCCTCTGAGGGACATTTGGCAAGATCTGGAGATAATTTTGGTTGTCACAACTGGGGGTTGCTACTGCCATCTAGTGGATAAAAGTTCAGGATCCTGCTCAACGTCCTGCAATGCTCGGGGCAGCCCTACCCCTACAGCAAACAATGATCCGGCGCCAAGTGTCTACAGCGCCAAGGTGGGAAAACACGGACCTACACAAAACCATAATCCTTTTGTGTTCGGTTGTGACCAGGGGCCCATTATGTCTGCCCAAGGGAAGGTAAAAAAGAGATCTGGATTTGACCCTAGCACTCTTTCAAACCAAATGCATGCACTGTTTTATTTTTAGTAAACTATATGTAACATACACTTTACCATTTTAACCTTTTTTTAGGTGTTCAGTTCAGTGGCGTGGACTGCATTCACAATGTTATTCAACCATCAGTATCGTCCTTTTCCAGAGCTGTTCCAAGTTTTAACAGCAACTTGGTACCCACTAAACGCCGACTCATTATTTCTCCCCCATCCCCCAAGCCGTTGGCAGTGGCCATTCTACTTTCTGTCTCTTTGAATTTGACGACTTTAAGTACCTCATATAGTGGAATTATACAATATTTGTTTTTTGTGTGTGTTGGACTCACTTCACTTAGCATAGTGTTGTTAAAGTTCATCCATGTTGCGGTAAGCATCAGAATTTCATTCCATTTTAAGGCTGAGAAATATTCCATTGTGTGTGTGTGAATATATTTATATATATAATATTGTGTTTATCTATTCATCTATTCATAAAGTTATCTTATTAGCTCTCAATGTGTATTATTAAACTTAATTAAAGTGTAATTAAAAGTTCTAGGTTTATAAAGTCCATCAAGTGTACTGTTCTTCTGATGCTGTCTCATGTAGGAGATATTTTTGAATGAAGGAAGCAAAGACAATTGTGAAAACAGTATTTGGATTTTGTAAAAGTCTTACAGTCTTTTCTAGTAGAGAAAGGGTTCTTATTTTGAGTCCTGGGGACATTAAAAAAATAGAAAAGTTTAAAATAATGGTGAGAACAAGAATGAAGAGTTACCATATATTGAACTTGTGCTATGCCTGATAAATTTAAATAGCCTTGAAAACCCTGGCCAGTGTATCTGTTGATTCACCTCATCCTGTAAACTGAAAGGTCTTGGGTTCGATTCCTCATCAGGGCACATGCCTAGGTTATGGGTTATGTCTCCAGTATGAAAGACAACCAATTGACCTATGTTTCTCTCTCGCTCTCTCTCCCTCCCTTCCCCTCTCAAAGAAAAAAAATATAATAAATGTAAAAAAATTAATAAAAATAAATGCCATTGAAAGAGTGTGGATTGTATGTTGTTGGGGGCGGTGTTGCTGTCAGCCCAACAGCCTGTACTCTGGTTTCCTCCTTGCCAACACTCCTGAATGTATTCAGGTAGTGGGTACTGATCCCTTGATCCCAGGAAATGCTGTCTCTTCAGAAGTCCCAGAGGATGCTGGTTGGCTTTGCTCAACCAATGATGAGTAATCTCATTCCCCTTCGTCACTGTCTGGTCTGCGGTTGGTCACGTGCCCAGTCCTGACCAAGAGTTACGCTAGGGAGAAGTTTATTGGAATAATTTTATCCCTAGATATAATGACAATCTATTGAGGAAGAAAGACTTTTGCCTCCCTTTGCTGTCCCTGCTAAGAGTTTTTACTTTTTATTTTTTATTGTTTGATTTTATGTATTTATTTGTAGAGAGAGGGAAGGGAGGGAGAAAGGAGAGAAACATCAACTGGTTGCCTCCTGCACACCCGCAGCTGAGGACCTGGCCCAGCGCCCAGGCATGTCCCCTGACTGGGAATTGAACCAGCAACCTTTGGGTTTGCAGGCCAATGTTCAACCCACTGAGCCACACCAGCCAAGGCAAGAATTCTTTTGTATGAGCTGGTGTGGCCGCCATCTTGCAACCATGAGATGATAAACCTTGGGACAAAAGGTCAACATAACGGAGGTTGGTAGAATTGAAACACAAGAAAAAAGTTGGGGCTTTGGTGATGCCATTAATCCATCACATGAATTAATTACGGCCACCCCCTCGGAGACGTCCTGTTATGTGCAAACATGAAATAAATGCCTGTTTTTGTTTCTTCTGTTCTCAGTTGGATACTTTGATACATGTTCCCCAATGCCCTCTAACAGGCACAAGGCTCATGGCTCACCTTTTCTTGGTGTTTCAGGAAAGGCTTCCAGGGAGCATGCCGACTGGCTCCCCAGGGAGGACGGGCCACCAGGTGGAGTATCTGGGAGAGAAATTTGGGGAGATCAGCTGGCGCATATCTGGCTAGCTCTCAATAACATCAGCTACTATTACCTCAAATTGTCCACTCACCCTCTGAATGTTCGGCCATCATCTCACATTCACTCTTGGTGAAAACACTTGTTCTTCATAACCTACTCTCCTTCCTGGGTACCCGTCCTGGTGATTGGCCCCTCCCTCTATCCCATTCATCTTTTCAAACAGGAAGTTCTAAGTCAGCTTCAATTCCTCTCTCCTCTTCAGCTTTTGGTCATGTCTCATCCATCATCTATCCACTCCTCCATCCGTCCATCCATCCATCCCCCTATCTAATTATCCATCCATCGATCCATCTATCCATCCACTGATCTGTCCATTGATCCATTTATCCATTCATCCATCCGTCCTTCCTTCCACCTTTCCATTCATCCATCTATCCATCCACTCATCTATCCACCAGTGTATCTATTCACCCATCCACTCACTTATCCATCCATTAATCCACGCATTCATCCATTCACTCATCCATGCGTCGATGCATAGATCCATCCTTCTACCTTTCCATCCATCCATCCATCCATCCATCAACAGATACACATATATCAAGCACCAGGCATTTTTCTAGGCATTGGACAGATAGTAAGACACAAGGTCTCTGCTCCATGGACCTTACATTTTCATGGCACAGAGAGTTAAGTTCATAGAAAATAAACACCAATATAACTTCAGGTAATTTTATCACAAGTTAAAAGAGTAATTCCTGAATATTACAGCCAAAAAAAGCCTTCAGAGATGTCCTCCCTTGGTGCTTCCTGAAGCATGCCGTGAGCACCACCTATATCCACAGGCAGACTCCTGGGGCCCAGACCTGCTGCCTCAGAATCCCTGGTGTGGGTCTTTGACTCCACATTCACAACAAAGTGTCCAGGTGACCCTTACGGACATTAACACATGAGAGCTGCTAATCTAGTCCAATCGCCCTTGTTTTACAGATGAGGAAACAGAAGCCCAGGCAGGCACATGGTTCTCTAACATCGCACAGCGAAAACAGAGCAAAGTTGACATCTGATCCCCTTTGGACCGTGGGGCCGCCTCCTGGTGAACAAAAAGGACACAGTCTGGAGGAGGAGTCCCACTGAACGTTTCCAGGTTGTTAGTGCTGGGCAGTGATTTAGGTGGTATGGGGAGAAGAGAGGGACTTTATATTTGTATATTATTTGAATTTCTTAAAATAAGTATGTAAAACCTCTATTAAGTAAATACAATTCTATAGAATCAGCCCTGGACAGGTAGCTCAGCGGGTTAGAGCATTGTCCAGATGCACCAAGGTTATACGTTCGCTTCCCAGTCAGAGCACATACAAGAATCAACCAGGGGAAGCGTGAATGTGTGGAACAACAAAATTGGCATTTCTCTCTCTCGCCTTTCCTCTCACTAAAATAAATAAATTAAAAAACAAAACTTAAAAATACAGCTTGACAGAATCATACATGAATACCTTTATGCTGTTTTTTTTCTTTATTGCTGATAGCACTTTAATTTTCATTTATGTTCCTAACTAAAAATGTGACCCAGTCTCATAGTTCCCAAGTACAATGCATCTCAATTTTCTCCAAGAATAAGGACAAGGAGAGAAGAATTCACATAAGAGCATCTCTGGGAAGGCCTGAACAGGTTATCTTTTAAGAATATGATTGGCTTTTGGCTTTCGGCTCAGAGGAGGTGAAGGTGCAGCTTTCTTCCGTTGTCCTGAATCTGGGTTCATCTGACACCAGTTAACTCCAGCCTGCTGCCGAAATTTGACTCCGAAGAGATCAAAGTTGTATACTTGAGGTGCACCGGGGAAGTGGGTGCCACATCTCCCCTGGCCCCCCAGATCAGCCTCTGGGGACCGTCTCCAGAAAAGGTTGGCGACGACATTGCCAAAGCAACCGGTGATCGGAAGGGTCTGAGGATTACGGCGAAACTGACCACTTAGAACAGACAGGCCCAGACTGAGGTAGCGCCTTCTGCCTCTGCCCTGATTATCAAAGCCCTCAGAGAACCGCCACGAGACAGAAAGAGGCAAAAAAACAGCAAGCACAGTGGAAATACCACTATCGATGAGACCATCCACATTGCCTGACAGACGTGGCATGGATCTTTAGCTAGAGAACTCCTGGGAACCATTAAAGAGATCCCGAGGACCGCCCAGTCTGTGGGCTGCAATGTCGATGGCCGCCACCCTCAGGACACCAGAGATGACATCGGCAGTGGTGTGGGGGAATAGCCAGCTCGCGAAGACCTACAAAGGAGTGCTCGTTTCGGCAGCACATGTGCTAAAATTGGAACAAAACACAGAAGTTTCGCATGGGCCCTGCGCAAGGACGACACACAAGTTCGTGAAGCGTTCCATATTTAAAAACAAAAAAATTTATAATGGATCTTGACATTTAAAAAAAATAAATAAAATCAATCTGCATTTAAAAAAAAAAAGAACCACAAAGGAAAATATTTCAGTTAAAGATCATTTTGACAGGCCCCCCCCCCCAAAAAAAGAAAAAAAAAGCATGTGATTGTATGTATGCTGTACACCTGACACTAATACAAAATTATAGTGGATGTAAACTGTAATTGAAAAATAAAAATTAAAAAAAGGTTATCTTTTCCCATTGTATATTTCCAGTTCAAGAAAGCCTGTTGTTAAAGTTCTATGAAGCACAGCCCAGTTGAGATCATCGCATTGGTCACTTAAAATGAGCCACGCTGGTTACTTAGCAAATGCCACAAACTGGAGCTTTCGGTTTTTTTTCCAGAGGTGGCAAAACTTGAATGGTCATTCAATGAACGTTTGCCACGACTTACTGTGTTCTGGGCCATCATCAGAGAATCACAGAGAAGAGTCAGAAGTCCCCCTGCTTTGGGGGCACCCGTGTTCCCTTAGAGGTGACACATGGCTCCAGTGCTATCTCAGTGAAGTTCCAACCAAAGCTGGTGTTTCTGAGCGCTTACTATCTGCTGGGCATTGCGTTAAGTACTTGGCATGAATGATCTCATGATCTTTTGTCTGGGGGCAAATCATTTCTTTCCTGAGCCTCAGTTTTCTCATCTAGAAAAGGCACGTAATAATAATATCTAACACGGTGTTTAAACCACGAATGTGTTGATACATTATTATGCACAACAGATACCATATTATAGGGGGGAACCAATGTGTCGGTATCGTTGTGACTATCTCACAGGACAGAAAATCTACGAAATGGGAGCGCTAAGGCAGCACACAGGTGCGGTCCCTGAGCTGGCCAGAAGGAGGGAGGAGAGGCCAGAAGAATTCAGAGAAGGGAGCGCCTGCAAGGTGCTGATGGAGAAAGAAGAATTTTCCAGACCAAGAAGAAAGAGGGAGGGTGTTGCAGGCAGAACGCGGCATGAACAAAGGCCAAGCCGGGGGATAAGTCGAAACCCTGGTGCTGTGAGCTCAGCGGTTACCAGGAAGGAGAAAGAATGGGTGGGCTGCGGCGCCGCGGGTCCCGGCCCCACCTCCTTACCCCTCACCGGGTCCTCTCTCCGTGCTCTCTCCCACAGGTCCTTCCTGTTGATCCGATCAAAGACGCTGAGAGCCAGCGCCCAGGCCTCCCCAATCCCGCAATGGGCCACCAGCAGCCGGGCCATCTCCAGCGGACCTGCGGTCTCCATGCGCCCCCAGGGAACCCTGCCCTCCCCCATTTCGGTCGCCGTCCCCAGGTATAACTTGAACTTCTTCAGCTCCACTGCCTCCAGTTCTTCCAAGTAGGCGGACAGGCGACAGAGGCCATCCCTGACCGTGGTCTGGGGCATGGGGGCGGCGGGACCGCTGAAGGACAGCGCAGCGGGCGTCTAGGATGTTCCCGCACGCAGGACGGGCAATTCCCAGGCGCTCACGGGCTCCGCGTGCGCCGCGCAGGAATGAGAGACAGGGAAGTCCTGCTGTCGAAATAACGCTTCCTCCGCGTTGGGTTCCCGCCTGCCCTGCCCTGCTGGCCAACGGGCGTGCGCAGAGAAGAAGGGGAAGTGGGGAGGGATGAGGAAATGGCTGGAGTCATTCCACGCGTGAGAAAGACCTCCACTTGGGCTCCCTCGGCCAGCCACCCTCTCACCTTTGTCCTGGCTGCTGTTTTCCTGACCTCACTAGCGTCTGTGGTCGAGCGGATGGTCATCGGGTGTCTTCGTCACCCCGCGTGAGGACTAGACATCCTCCCCTTGGCGTCAGCCCGAGGGACCGGTAACTTGCCTCGGCCAGTGACATGTGGCAAACGGGAGCGAAACGAGGGCCAATGTCTGCAAACTCCCTTCCGGGTATTTTCTCTTAAAACAGAGGAGGATGCAGACACCTGGAGGGGTACAGGGATTCTCCAGCATCACAGCCAAAAAAGAGCAGGGCTGACGTCTGCTCTGTCCTAGACCATGAGGCTGGAGCCAAAGGGACACGGTGTGGAGGAGAGGAACCCCCCAATAGGTAATGCCAGGTATCAGTCCCGGGGACATGGAAGTGGAAGGCCGTGAAGGGTTGTTGTTGTTTTCAATTGTATTTTACTTTATTTTATTTATTGAGTTGAGAGAGAGCTAGAGAAACATCCATCACCGATTGATGCATTCACCGGTTGGTTCTTGTATGAACCCACACACCACCTTGGCGTATCCGGATGAAGCTCTACCTGAGTTCCCCGGCCAGGGCATGAGGCGTGACAATTAATTATTATTATTATTATTATTATTATTATTATTATTATTGGTGTGGATCGATTAGAGGGATAAAAGAGCTGGTATGAAGCAGGGGATGGGGAATCAGGAGCGCGCGATCCCACCAGCATTTACAGCAATGGCAGCTGTGTGAAGAAGGCGGGGGGGAGATGGTTGCGTTCTTGGCGCGTTTGCAGGGACAGTGGTGAGATGCGGGGGTCGGGGCTTCCCAGGCCCTCTCGCCCCTCCCCCATCACGGCACTGTGACCTTGGGGAAGTCTCCTTGCTGCCACTCTTAACCTCCAAGGGCCGGGCAGAGGGAGGAAGAAATAGGACACGGTGAGTCGTTACATAACTTACCTAAAATGGGACTCTCAGAGGTGAGTGTGTGGCTGTGACCCTCAAATGTGACCTGGTTTAATTTCCTCACTCTCCTGTCCCTCTTTCCGAGACTACCATTGTCCTTGGGAGTCTACCTGCCCACCTGCTCTTGGTACCAGCATCAGGGATGGTGCAGATACCCTCCAGGGAAAGGGGGATCCGTGAGGGCCAGTCATGCTTTCTGGATTTAGAATACGCAAAAAATTGCCCTGGCCCCGCGGGCTCCGTTGGCTGGAGCAGCACATGGACATGCCAAGGTTGTGGGTTCGATCCTCTGTTAGGGCACATACAAGGAACAACCAATGAAGGCATAAGAAACTGGAGCAACAAATCAATGTCTCTCTCTTTCTCTTTACGTCCTCTTGTATCTCTAACATCAATAAAAAAACAAAATATGCAAAAAATATATAGCTGTAGAGGCTATTTAAGGAATGGAATTGGGGTCAGTGACCTTTTTGGGGTACAAACTCAAAGAAACTCAAAATCATGTCCCTAGTATTTCTCAACCTTTAATGTACATGTGAGTTGTCTGGAGGTCTTGTTACAATAAAGATTCCGGCCCTGGCTGGCGTGACTCGGTTGGAGTGTTGCCCAGGAATGGAAGGGTCTCCGGTTCCATTTCAGGTCAGAGCACAAGCCCGCGTTGTGGGCTCGATCTCCGGTTGGGGCATGTGCCGAACGTAGCCGACCAGAGTTTCTCTCTTGCATCGACGTTTCTCTCTTTCTCTTGGTCTCTTTTCTCTCTCTCTCCGCACCCCTCCATCCTGCTCCCCCGCTCCTCTATCTCAGATGAGAATAAAATAAACCTTTAAAAAAAATTCTGATGTGTTGGATCTGAGAGTCTCTATTTCCAAGAAGCTCCTAGTTGCTGCTGCATCCGCTGGTCGGAGTTCATAGTTACAGGAAGCCAGATTTCTGTAGAGGACAAAACTCTGTGAACTGTCTTCAGAAGGTCTTAGTGTAGCAGAGAGAAAACATAAAGAAATAAATAAAAGACATTTGAAAGAAAGTTGATGAGATAATTTTGGATTTTCCAAAGCCTTGGAGTTGAGAGTGTTACTTTTATTTATTTATTTAGTTTTTATTTATTGATTTTAGAGAGAACCATTGATTTGTTGTTCCACTTATGGATGCATTCATTGGTTGCCTCCTGTATGTGCCCTGACCAAGGATTGAACCCATAACCTTCACAACCCTGAGAGCACCATTTTAACTACTTTATTTTTACTTAAAAAAATGATCATTATTATTATTTTATCTGACCCGAGCACATTTTTTCATTGCTTTTTAGACAGTTAGGAGGGGGAGTGGGTAGAGGGGGAGAGAGAGAGAGAGGCGGATGCGAGAGAAACATCGGCCTCCATACGCCCTGACCAGGGTTTGAACCTGCAACCTTTCATTCCATGGGATGATGCTTCAACCAACTGAGCCACACCAGCCAGGACCATTTTAACTATTTTGAAGTGTACAATTCAGAGACATTAAATACATTGGCAATGGTGTGCAACTATCACCGCTACCCGCTCCTAGAATTTTTTTCATCATCCCAAAAGGAGGCCCCATGTCCATGAAGAAAGTCATTTTCCATTTCCCCCTCCCCAGCCCCTGGTAACCACCAATCTACTTTCTCTCTCTATGAACTCGTTGATTCTGGATAGTCCATAGGAATGAAGTCATATAATATGCGACCTCCTACGTCTGGCTCACTTAATACAATGTCCTCAAGGTCCATTCATGTTGTAGCCTGTGTCAGAATTTCCTTCCTTTTCATGACTGGATAATATTCCATTGTACGTCCTGGCATGGTTTTGAGCAGGGGAGGGATGGAGTCAGATCCACGTTAAGGAAGCTCCTTCAGGGTGAACCAAGGGAGGAAGCCCCAGGGGGTGGGAGGGAACTGGCAGGAGGCTGAACCATGGCTTCCGGGGGGCCTCGGTAGGGACCGCGGGCATGTTTGAGGGGGGTGGGGGTGAGCAGCAGAGGTTCTAAGGAAGGGGAGAGGAAGAGGATGATGCTAGCCTGGACGCTCTGTGGGTTAGATGTGAGCTTCCCCAAGTGACGTACTGGCTGACCTTCCAAACCTGGGTCACCGGAGAGGAAAGGCAAGTTTCTAGGAATTCAAATGGGGGGAAGCCGAGTTATGACTTTCTATTTCCTACATCCCCTTTCAAGAAAGCCCTTCTTTCTGGTGGGAAGAAGGAGAATTAACAATTTGGGAGACTTCCGTAGCTCATCACTGTTCCTGGGAATAGAGGAATGAATCTACTCTAGCCCTTGACTTCAAGGGTCTCAGAGTCTAAAGATAATTTTCTATGACAGACCAATCAAGAAACACAGACAATGCTACCTGAAACTTCTTTTTTCTCACCAACAAAATGTGAATATTTGATTAGAAAAATACCATACTTTAATTTTAACATATTTTGGTCTTGAGAAGTGGAAAAAAATATAAGGGGTTTTAATACATTTTATAAATTATTTATTTATTTGTGTATTAATCCTCAGCCCTAGCTGGTGTGGCTCAGTGGACTGCGCGCCAGCCTGTGAACCAAAGGGCTGCTGGTTCGATTCCCAGTCAGGGCACACGCCTGCGTCGTGGGCCAGGTCCCCAGTTGGGGCATGTGAGAAGCAACCACACATTTATGTTTCTCTCCCTCTCTTTCTCCCTCCTTTCTCCTCTTTCTAAAAATAAATAAATAAAATTTTTAAAAAGAAATCCTCACCCGAGGGCATGCTCATTGATTTTAGAAAGAGAGAAAGAGAAAGAGAGAGAAGGAAGGGAACACTGATGTGAGAAAGAAACATTGTCCTAGGTACATGCTTTGATTCGGAATCGAACCCATGACCTTTCAGTTTATGGGACGACTGAGCCACGATGACCAGGGCTTTAATTTTATTTTTCTTTCTTTTTAAAAAGAATTTATTTATTTATTTTTTTAGAGGGGGGCGAGGGAGAAAGAGATGGGGAGAAATATTGATCGGTTGCCTCTCACACGCCCCCAACTAGGGGGACCTGGCCGGTCCTGGCCCGCCACGCAACCCAGACATATGCCCTGACTGGGAATCAAACTGGTGACCTTTCAGTTTGCAGACGGGCGCTCAATCCACTGAGTCGTACCAGCCAGGGCTAATTTTATTTTTCAACTACAGGTTACATTCAATCTTATTTTGTATTAGTTTTAGGTGTACAGCATGGTGGTTAGACAATCATATACTTTACACAATGTTCACCCTGATATTTCCAGTACCACCTGGCACCATGCATAGTGATTACACTGTTACTGACTACATCCCCTCTGCTGTCCTTTACATCCCCGTGACTGTCTGTAACTACCAATCTGTACTTCTTAATCCCTTCGCCTTTTTCACTGAGCCCCCCAACCTCCTTCCCATCTGGCAACCAAAGGTGATCTTCACCAAAATGACGTATTGGTTTGCTTCTGCGAGAGACAGAATATTAGAAAAAGCTCTTAGTGTTGAAAGAGACATAAAACTCAGCTCAACTTAAAGAATCTAGGGGTTAGTATAAAATAGTGTAGCGCCGTCTTTCCAAACTGTTGGAAAATAGTTTGGTGGTTCCTCAAAAGTTATGCATAGAATTTACCATACGACCCCAAATTTCCGTTCCTAGGTACATACCCTAAAGAAAGAACAGATGTTCACACAAAAACTTGTAGCTTGGCTGGGTGGCTCACTTGGTTAGAGCACCGTCCCGTAAACTAAGGTTGTGGGTTTGA